TGCCTGAGGTTTCGTGCCTATGCCCATGCCCAGACCTTTTGTTGGGCACAGGCACGTGCCTGGGTTGCAGACCCCTAATACTGGTATAAACGTTAAAATGATAATCAAAAAATATATCGGTGATTAAAAAAGTCCTGTCCAGGGACTTTCACCCACCCGGTAGGCGTGATAGATTACTAACCTCCCCTCTCCAAAAAAATTACGTAATAAGGCTAAAAAAGAAGATGAAACGTAATTGCAAAGAGGTGTAACACCGGATCAAGCCTAAAAAAGCTATAAGAAAAAAAAAGGAAAATTTTATTTCTACTATGAAATTTACTATTTCTATCATGCATTACTCAGTCTATATGACATAATAAATATCGTATAAATTATGCCAAATAGTAAATTTTCATGGAGAAAATAGGTGTTTTCTTAAAAAAAGTTATTTTATTCTCAACAAAGTTGAATGCACCATTTAGCTGCCATTCAACCAACAATTGGCAAACACTCAACATGTTTGGTTGTATGGCGTGTTGAATGATGTGTTGAATGGTATTAGAGTCTTTTGATTTTAGCCAGTGATTTTAGATTTCTGTTGCACGTATTAGGGAAATTTTTAAAGTGGAGTTTTTGAATATTATCTTTAGAAAAACTTGGGCTGAAAATTTTTTATATTAGAATATGACGTCTAAACTAAAATGAATTATGATTGATTTTTTCTTTTTTAAAGCGTCTTGAATAAGTGATGCCTGAACTTTGATATCTTTTTTGTGCAATGTGTCTTTTGTAACTTGTTATTTTTACATAATGCGCCTTTTGCAAGTACTTGTCATTGGTCATTTTTTGAATTTTCCATGAGGACGCTGAGATATAACGGTGGCCAAGGCCACCGTTATGACAAATCAGGGATTGTTCTTAATGATATGATACAATGACATGTTATTGTACAATTCAGACGTAAGCACTACAGTGCAGGAACCCTTAAACCAACACCTTTTTTAAAAGTGGCCAAATTTGAGCCAAAATACTGAAATTTGATTGGCTAATTTTCAAAATTTTATTATGTTTTTTAAATTTGTATTATATTTTTTAAAATTTTATTATTTTTTTATATATATATGCGGCCAAAATTTTATTTTACTAGTAACTTTAAAAGGAAATAATATTATCAAATTTTGTTATATTCAAAAACAAACTTCATAGTTTTGTTCTACTCAGTTTGTTGTATATTTCTATGAAAAGTTTTTTTATTTAAATATATTTTTTATTTTTTTATATAATGTTAAAAATTTTTAATTTTATATGTTGATTTAAGGATTCCCGCACTGTAGTCATTTCTAATACGTAATACACAAATTTCGTTCACCTCCGATGGAAGGTGCAAAGTTTGTGCATCTCGTATTAGAAGTGACTCAATAACATGCTGAAAATGGCTAGGTACTCACATAAAAAGTATACAATAACTTCTGTTATTTTTATTTTTTATAATGCACTTAATAAAAGTTATTGTTTCTTATTTTTGAGGAATCGCGTACATCAGTTTCGTGTAACATCACGTACATCAATCTTTTTTGACCAATAAAATCAAAAAAAACAAAATTATGCGATTTTATTTGTCAATATACGTGATGTACACGAAACTGATGTACGCCTCTTTTTTTTACTGTTATTTATCCTTCATCATTTATTATTTGTGTGTAATGCACTTAAATGTATCTTTTATGATTTCTATTACTTTTGTGTAACGTAATTTTGTTTAATATACGTCTGAAATAGTCCGAAATGATCTAATAATTTGAAATAATCTAAACTGAACAAATTTTAATAATCATAAGTGAACAAAAATAATCTAAAATAAACGTATACTCTGTTCATAAAGTTCAATGTTAAGAAAACCAAGACTTAAATGAATCACATGGAAAAGTGCATTCACCCTTCCGTATTTTAAAACGCTCCATGTAGTTTTAATATCACTTTCTAAAATTGCATACATTCTTTACATGCCAATAACAAATTAAAAGAGATTCAATTAATTTAATTTTCGATAATTATTTATCAACTGAAAATTATTTTATTAGGCACTACTTCTAGTTTTGAGCCATTAACTATTAACGTTCTAACTAGAGTTTATATTAAATACACTTGCAAAATCCACAAACTTTATTAATTATTACATGTATAAGAATTGTTTTACAGATAAATTTGCCTAACTATATTAAATCTATATTAAATTATAACCTATATTGCAACATATTTCAACCTTCACAAATAAAAAATTTTCTCTTTGCTTTACATTCTCTTCTATTTACAAGTCATAATCCACATAAAAATAAAATATTTAATGGAGGATTTAAAAAAGATTCTCTGTATGCATAAAGGTAAATACAGTTACACTGTAATTACGCCATTGGAATTCTTAGAAACTTTATAAAAAATGTTTTTATATAGAGAATATGCTTATATAGTTAATTATTTGTATATAGTTAATAGCAATTGGTTCAAAAAATAAATGTTCTTATAAAAAATTTTTTTCATATGCTTATGTGGAGTGCTTATATGGTATATACATAGATAAAGATTCGAACACACTTAAGTTTACTTCGTTTTGAACATAGAATTTTATTTATTCAAAGTGTGCTCCTGACAAAAAAAAGTCTGGGAACCTATGAACTGTCTGACCTTCTGTTTCTTGTACACTAGTAAATGGATCCGTGCTTTTGGTTAAAGTTTCATATTTTTGTTCAGCAGTAAGATTATCATAGGATGAATTTACAAGCATATTAGTGTTTTGAGGTATCAAAGGCTGACCTCTAGTCGCATGATTTGTAGGTTGATTCATGATGATAATCTTAAGATTTTGGAATAACATAGTCATGCCACAAAAATTTGTCGGTGATGTAATATCCGAGCTAATCGGATCAGGGTGCTAGTATCGATTTTAACATCAACAGTAGAATCTACAGTAGAATCTACTGTTGATGTTAAAATCGATACTAGCACCCTGATCCGATTAGCTCGGATATTACTTCACTGACAAATTTTTGTGGCATGACTATGTTACTCAAGATTTTGCCTGAAGTTTTTTTTTTGCTTTAAAAAAATAGAAGCAGAAATTTGCGATTTTATAATTTTTTTTAGTAATGCGTCTGGAATTGATGTTTTTGATAAATACGTCATGAAAAATCACCAGAAAGAATTAATGATATAGTGATTAATTCATTAACTCGGATAGATCCGACAATTCTTTATTATTTGAGTCATTTAACTGGAATGAAACTCTATTGATTTGCGTACAATAAGTACTATCTATTATCAGTAAGGCGGGAATAATGAATATTTCCCAGTGGCGCTTGCGCCATAAGTGTTATTTTCCGACAATGCGGAATAAATAAGCTATTTATCATTTCATATGATGACATTTTTAAAAATTTCGGAGAAATGACAAACCAAAAAAGCCCGAAAATAACTAATAAGTCTGGGGAAATGACTAGTAAGAAAAAACATGTGATCAAAATTGTAATTACAGCCGTTTTCATAAATTTTGGGGCAAATGGAAGACCGAATTGATAAGTTCTGATTTCGGCCGACATTGGTGCCCTATTGATTCCAACTCCATAGCTTATCGATTCGGTCATCGGAAAATTTTACTGTTGCCCCATAATTTATGAGAACAGCTGTAACAACACGTAAATCCCCGTCATGCGAACTTAATGGGACAGTGAATCAATAATTATTGGTCTTTGATTTATACATATTCTTTTAATTAAAATCCAGTTTTCATTTTTTTGTATATCATGAAAATTGCCGAAGGTAACGCAAATATGTAATTCTTGTGACAGATCAAAATAAAATCAGGTTAAAAAATGTAATATAGTATAAATAGACAAGCTACTAAAAATTACAAATTTTTGGGGTAGCTTTTTTAGGGTTAAGGGTTAGCTTTAGATATAAAATTTATAATTAACGTTAACAGGTATAAGTTGTTTTAGAAAGTTAAACCAAACCCCAAATCTGCGAAAATTCTTAAAACCCGAAAAATATTAACAGATTTTCTTTTTTGGATACAATGCATATAGTTTTCGTGGATCTCTAAATAAAGTTCTCATTGCATGAATACGGGATTTTACAACATAGGAGGAAGATCGTCTGATTGGTCAATGCAAATCAGTTACCTGAGTAATTTATTTATACGGTTTAAAATACTTTTTAAAAATGTATCGTTTCACCATAAAATAATATTATTGCACAAGTACGGTTGCTGTGAGTAATATGATAATTTATATTATTGCGCTTTTCAAATTGCTGTGTCCACTGATTTTCATACATCACACTGGGAATCAGAAATCTAGAAAAAATGCCAATACGTAATTGGCTAAAAATTATTTTTAACCAATCACAGATTTGCATTTATTCTAGATTTCTGATTTCCGGTGTGGTGTATGAGAATCAGCGGACACAGTAATTTGAAAAGCGCAGTAATTAAAATGTTTGATATTATCAATCTTTGGAATTATTATTTGTTACCAGTGTAATCATCATCACCTTCTAATTAAATCATACCGTAAGCATTTCTGAAAAACAAACCGCAGATAGGTTAGAATTAAATGACTGGGTCAAAATCCAGGCAAAAATTGACTGGAACCACAGTTAATGTGGGCCAGCTTGTGAGGATTATGACCTTGTCGGGATTTTGACCCAGATCCGAATTAAATTTAGAGATGTTAGTGAAATTAAATTTACCAAATTTACGAATCCTAAAATTAATTGTCACAATGATGAACAAAGTCTGCCGACTATTAGCATTAATAATCATAATTACCGATTATTGGGAAATTTGTGTATGCATCATACAATGCGACAATTAATACCGATTATTGGGAAATTTGTGTATGCATCATACAATGTGACAATTAATTTTTGGGAATGATTTTTGTGATTTTGTGGAAGAATTTTATCCCATTTTTTTATTTAGATTAGCTCAGGTTAATCTAAAATTTTGTGTAATTTTGCTGTTCAAACAGATCAGACCAAACGATATCATATACAAAATTATGGGTTAGCGATTTTTAAAAAATGAGGTCTTGCACCAGGGCTAAAATGACATATGGGAACCCCCACAGCAAAACAAGCCAGTGGGCGGTTTTAAATTTTGATCTTTAAATAAGTATATCTTATGATTTAGTAATTAGAATTAAATAATTTTTATATCATTAGACTCATTTCGGTAAGATGAATCTAATAATATAAGAATCATTTAATTTTAATTATTAGATCATGAGATATACTTATTTAAAGATTAAGTTTTAAAACTGCCCACTGGTTTGTTTTGCTGTGGGAGTCCCCATATAGTGAACGGTGGCTATTTGCTGTGCCACTGACTATTGTTTAAAGTATCTTCCTTAATACATCAAAAATTATGAAATAGTATTTAATCTCACAACAATTGATATGACATTTAATATAATGTGAATAAAAAATGATACTTATTGAATGGCAGGCATTTATTATGCTTTTCAAGTTACTGTGATCAGCTAGTTTCATGTATCACTGAAAATCAGAATCTGAAAAAAAATGCCAGTATATAATTGGTTAATATTATTTGATTGATTTTTAGCCAATCACATACTGGCATTTTTTCTATATTTCTAATACATAAAATTTGCTGATAACAGTAATTTGAAAAGCACAATAATATAATTAGAGTTATTTGTTTGTGCATTTCCAATCTCAACTCAATTACATAATCATTTATGTTTTAAAAAAACCTGGTGTATTATTTTAAAAAAAAGCTGACAAGAAAAAATCTCACAAATATATTATAACGTCATTATATAATAAATGTCTTTGCTTAATAAACATCATTATATAATGAACTTTTTACATAACACATTATCATATAGCAAAGGTTTTTGTGTTGTGACAGGCAGAATTTTTACTTTTAATTTATATTACAAACAAATATAAAAAAATTAGAAATTAAAGCAATTCAACAAAGTCATGATGTTAGTAATTTGGTTAAGTTTTATTTTATTTTGAGTAGTTTCTATTTTATATATTTTATTATTATTAAATTATTTTTACCAAAGCAAAAATAAGACTTTTATAGTTTTTACACTTTTAAAAAGCATAAAAAGGTTTACTTATTGAATTTTTTTATATTACAGCCTAAGCTTATTGAAATATTTTATTTTGTTTAAATGAAAGAGTTTTTAATCATTACTTATTAATATTTCACAATAAGAGAAAAGATTCTTTATATTAAAAAAAAGTTTTATAATAATTAACATATTACTCTGTCCTTTTTTTTAGATTCTTGTTTATATATATTAGTTATTATGTTTATTTTTTGAGACTGTTTTAGCTAATAAATCTTATACAGTCAGACCTTTCTAAATGCACCCTCTTTAAATGCAGTACTCCTCTAAATGCATAATATAAGCCCAGGCCCATAGTAAAACTTATAGATAAATGCACATTCTTTATTTTGTAAGTGCATACTAATTGTCTGGCCCACTTATAAAAACTTCCTTTATAAATTCATTTATGTGATTATCAACCAATCAAATCTATTATTCTAAACCATTAAAGACATATTTATTATATGATAATAGTTATATAATGATTTTATTAGTGTTCTTTAATTGCAACCCTCCCTAAATGCATGCTCTAAAGCTGGTCCCAATGATGTGCATTTAGAGAGGTCTGACTATATTATAAATAGTGATATACTTATATATATGAAATATTCAAATTATTTAGAATATTTTGTAATTTTATAATTTAGGTTCACATTAGCAGTAAGTTACTATCATACAGGCTAGAATTCTATATATAAAAAAGCTAATTTACTGTTACTAGTTATGAATAATAATTTAAATTTGAATTTTATTATTTGATGCATCTACATTGTAATGCACCTCATAAAAATCAGTGTAATGTAAAATCAAAACAAAAACTAATAATGCATTAATTTATAGTAAAGGTTAGTAATAATTTAAGACTAGGTTAGATTGTAAGTATATATTATTTACACCCAAAATTTTGCAATAAATTTTTTTTGTTAAAATACAAAAGGTGGTTTTATAAGCCAACTTATGAGTTACAAGCGATTTTTTCAAAATATCACTATTTTTTCAATTTCATATTACACCTGATCTTACAATCTGATTGGTCGATTAGATAGGTGTGTTACAGCGCAGGTGCACTAAATTTTTTTTTTCTTTCGGCAATCCTGTTTACTTTATTATGGAAACAGACTTTCATCCTTATATCGGCATAAGAAATCTCAATCTATAAGTGTTCTAACAAAAATATAAACTCATCTACAGCATATCTCGCAGATACTATAACATTCACTTGCAGTTAGGGCAAACTATTAAATCACTGTGTTTTGCCCAAATGCAACTCACCTAGCAACACTTGGCCTCTTTCAGAGATCTGAAACTCACTCTGGACTTATTTTTTCAAGATTCCTTGGCTGACTGTTGCTTGCCCTATTAAGATTTCTGCTCTACAATAGAATGCTGCCAAACTGATGACACTTTCTCGTAAGAAAGAAAAAAAGAAAAAAAGAATAAAGAGAATGAAAAAAGGTGTATATAATAAAACTAATATATCAAAGAAAATGGATACTAATACTAAGGAATATAAAAAAACTAAACTAAAACCTTAATCTAGGTGAGTCTTTGGCCACTCTAGTAGGTTTAAATCACGGATAAAGTAGTTCGAGCTTTTATTCTTGCAATATAGTTTTATTTCTATTTGTACTGGTACAAATTGTAGTAATTATTTAGTTAGTTATTGCTGTATTCTTGGTGCTTATAAAACTATCAATAAAGA